TACCAACGACTCAAAGTTTTAAATCAGTAAACAAAAAGGCGAGGAAAATGTTTAAAATTACGACACCAACGGAAGTGAAGAGGGACTAGTTGAGAATATGAAATTGAAAGCAGATAATGATAAAATGGGAAGATAATGTTGACAAGATATTGCACAACGAAGTCGTATATAAAAACTAAGGAACGTGGCAAGAAATCGAATGAAGAGGATTCTCAACATCCCAATTAGGTTGTCAATTAGGGAGAAATGATAAAAAAGAAATTTTTAAGAAATTATAATTGATTTTTCCATTAAATTTAATTGAATTTACCCAAAAAGATACAACCAGAAAGAATAACAAACGATTTTGTATATTTTTTTATAAAATTATTTCAAGGAAAAACTTACGTCAATATCCTAATCGTTTCTCCTTTTTCCTCAATATAAATAGTTTGTGGGCGGACACCACCTCCCACATTATTAGATTGTCAATTGCAGCTAAAATATCTATAATATCCACCCAACGTTTACAAAAACGAATTCAATTTCTTTTAACAACTTCTCAGAAGAAAGAATTTAATCGTAATTAAATTCTTTTATAATTTTCCTCCTATATTACCTTGTTTTTTTTATTCAAGTTTCGATCATGATATAGGAAACGAGATATTTGCCTCAAAATCGTGACCAAAATAAATTTGAGGGAAGAAACGTGTTGGAACGGCCGGTGTATTCATGTAAGAAACCTCTGAAAGATATAATGGATTGTAAAGCATTCGAGAACTCAACACCTGACGTCATCTACTTCGAATCCGATACTCTTTGCGAAACGGAAGGAATTTTAAAGATAGTGAAATGTATGGATAAAAATACGTACTGGAAATACAAAAGTTTTCATGTATAAAAAATTATTGAAAAGCATTATTTGTCGAAGCGTGAAGTTTGATGTAAACAATTTTTTTTTTTGATATTCTATAACATATCCATCCGGTGTTCTGGTTCGATTTAACTCCGATTAAATTGGCTTCGGCCGCAACACAAACGGTACTTCCAACCAAGTGAATTTGACAGACAGATAATCGGAGTAATGTGTGCTAATTGCGAATAATGACCACTTATTTGAGCTTCCGCAATTGAATTAGAATCATAGCTCTAAGTGCCCACTTGTATATATAGATATCTTAATTAAACGTTAGAAAAAAAATTTGTTTAGTCGAATTCGAACATGTAAATAACATGATCTAAGCACGTGTTTCCACTTTGAGTCTGATCCCAAAAAGAATCTATCCAAATATTTAGAAGGAGTTTCCGTAATAATACTTGAGGCCACTATTCACGAAACATTAACTACCATACGTTCTGGTCTTATTGGCATAAAGTCAACATCTGCTCTGTGTCCAGAGTGCGGTCGAACTCGGTCAGTGTTGAAAGCAAAACCCTCGAAAACAAAATTTCTGTAATATCGTTCGGAGAAATTAAGAGAAGAAGGACATATTAACACAAACCCCTTTGATTGTGACTCTATAAATAACCTCAGTTTATATTCTTTTATTGCTTTTAGTGAAATCTTGATTATAATAAAATTTTAGTTAAAAAAACTTTGTTCTTTAATAATTTATTCATAACATTCCAAATCTTTTCTAATTAAATAAGTAAACTAATTTCATACCAAGAGAAAGTAATATAACAGGTTTAAAGGTGTAAACGAGAAAAGTATTTATTGAAAGAACCCTGGAAGGGTCAAAAAATCTTCTCAACTCCACAGATGAGAAAAGTTTTTACCTAACAATACCGAAAAGGTCACAAGATACCTCAAAATCGACTATAAAAAAAGTTTGTATCACCGGGGGAAATTAAACGTTTTCATTTTTTAAATAAAAAATAAATTATTTAAAAATTAACGACTAAAACATTGATTAATATTTTTCTTTAGCTACAAAATCGCGAAAAAAAATAAGCTAAAACTGCCAATCAGTTAAATTTCACCCCTATACTACTACAATCAATCACGTTTCCGGTTGTGCCAATTATCTTTCGCTTCTCTACCACGTTGTTTGATGTAACAGATGTGTTTCGGAAAAGTATTCCAGAACACTTAATTAATTTATTTAATTAATTAATTAAAAAAAATTGTGTAATAAAAACTACATTTATGAAAAGTTTAAGACCATGTAATCAAAACTTCAAACTGTTACATCCCATCTATTTAACACGACCTTTCAATGAGCTATGACGATGAATCTTTCCGTATTCAATGGTCGTCCTGGTGATTTATCTAATGAAAGAAAATGTGCGAATCCTATCCTTTAGAAATAAACGTTCTTTACGTTTCTAAAGGAAAACGCTTTCAAGTGCACGTACATTTTATTTTATTTTGTTTGTCCCGTGCAGGAAGTAGCGGTTATCTAAAACCTAATGGACGAGGTTTCATTGTAGCTTACACGATTCGGAAATTCCAGAACTTGACCAATAAATTATTAAGCCACATCGTAAAAAGAAAATAGCTTTTCTTTCGAAGTCAAATGAAATACTCTGAGTGCAATTGACAATTCAGTGCGTTCAAGTGAGCATGATAAAAATGAAATCACGTTTTAGATTTGTATTGAAAAGTTTCTGCTGAAAGTCTTTTATGTTATTTTTAGAAGTTACTTGTTTTTAATTTAATAATTTATAAAAAATTCTAGTTAAACTAAGTCACAGAAAGAGGCTGTAAGAAAGTTATCCGATTCTTTCATAAACCTTGCTTCGTATAAAACAGTAACCTATATCTATGTGTTTATGAACCTCAGAGTTTCTGCAAACTTTGATGAAGTATGGAAAATAAAGTTCGTTATCAGTAATATCAAAACTATTCAGTACATATTTAACTTTGGTGGAAGATAGAGCTGCTAAATTGTCAAAACCTTAAGAATACTTCCTCAAGTGGTTTTGCTATCAAGTTCTGTCAAGTTTCTGGATATATCTAAGTACTCTTGTAATTGTTTACCAGAGTTGTTGGCTTGCTAAAGTATGGTGCCATCTTAAAAGAGATCTTAATATGTCATATTAAGAGCGAAGCAATAAGTAGTAAGAATATGTCGAAGCGGTCTGCAGACAGAAAGTGATTGAGATTATACTTGCAACGCCATTCGGAGGTATGTACAAGAAAAGCCTAACAATTTAATCCTCACGGGCTATGAAATTCAATAAATTACACAAAACTAAAAAACACATTAATAGAAAAAGATGACATAACAAAAACTCAAATAATCTATAATATGGATGAGAAAGGATGCCGGCTCACAGTTCATCAGCAGCAGTGATGCAAAAAGAGTGCAACTAGTTCCATCTGAGCACGCAGAAAGTGTAACAAAAAATGTAATGTTACTGCTATTCCACCTATGATGATCTTCAAAGACCAGCGTTTGAAGCCAGATTTGGTAAAACATATACCACCTGATTACATATAGCCGATATAAAATAGCCGGACCAGTGGTGTTTATATTTGATGGAGCATCATCTTATTTGGATGCAAACATCACAAGCGCTGCTGATAAACATGTCATCACGTTATATTGCATTCCAAGTAATACAACCCATGAATAAAGCAGTCTCCAAACTTAGAATGTAGATTCTGTTTTCCTTTGATGAGAACAAAACCAAAAATTTGATGACGAGTAATTTCGGAGAAGTTTTCAATAGGATATTGACAAGAGTTTTAACAGCAAATAACATACAGAGTTGCTCCTTCGAGTATGGAGGCATGGAACTAAGAGTCATATCATATTCGTCCCATCACCATCCACAGAAATGGTCAGTAGTCCAAGCCTTGTTCCTGCGAGCAGAAAAGAAGGGTCTGAAAGATGTAGTCCAGAAGAACAGATACACTCTCAAGGGCTCTTTGTAAGCAGAAAGAAGACACGACGTTCTGTACCAGCTAGATTTATCCGCCTTTTTTATAATTAGAAAGAGTGCGAGTCCATCGGCTGTCATGATATTGTGGGAAGTATTACGTTGACCAAACTGGACGTAACACCAACTACTGCATCAAGGAGCACAAGAAGTGTGTCTGACCAAGGTGCTAGCCAGAGTCGGAAATTACTACCAAAGAAAGACAAGAGACGCCATAGACAAACACAACATGAATGAGCAACATGAGAAAAGACGATTTGGAACTTAGACTTCTTCAGCTACGATTGAAAAGAAGTTGTCATTGTTTAATAGCAATTTCAATTTTTACTTTTTTAAAGCATGAGCATCATTTACATCTTCTCCAATTATAACAGAAATTTCAGTCATACTTTGCAAACTTCCAGTAAACTTGGATTTGTGGCTACGTTCTACCCTTGAGAATAATCTGAGTCTCCTACAAGCAGCTCTTCCTTCACTCGTTGGTTAGTCAATGAATGTCATTGCATGTGGTATTGCACCTGTAATAACAATTACACTGATACTAGTCTGTGTTGTTAATATTTAACATTTCAATAATCCCGCTCATGTTATTTGATTGTACATTTAGATGCTCCTTGTTTTTTTAAAATTCTTTGTAATTAAGACATTAACTCAAACCAAAACTAAATAAATAAAAATATATTTAAAAGTAAACTCAGTATTGAACGACTAAAAGTCAAGTTAAAGACTTAATCAATCAGTGACAAATTATAGACGAGAACAGACTTCATCACTGGTTCTACGATCACGAAAGTACTACTACTTAAATTTGTGGTAGGATTAAGGTCTTCCCCCTCGCAACTCGTATCCTCGAAACATCTCTTATCCTATCTCAACAGTGGAGGGGCCCAGATTTTCGGAAGTTGCGTCACGCTATGCTGCAATGCAACGATAATCCAAATCTGCACGAAGCTTATAAAACGAAAGTTTTTAAAAAGTTATTACTTAATCTTTAAACTCGTTCAATATACAGTCGTGCACCTAATAAGTAAACGACGATTTAAGATTACTCGTTTTAAAAGTAATTTTTAAAATTCGATGGATAAGGTTTAATTAAAAGCTAGGAAGATAAAAAATTATGTGTAAATACTTACTTTCTCATATAATGATATTTGACAACAACGGCTATAACTAATCCATTAGAAACTAACGCCAATAAAAATACTGGAATGTAAAGTCCTATTACGGTGTAATTTTTATCGTAGAAAACGTCCCAAGGATCCTCCTCGTCGTTATAATTTGACATGTTTATACTGTTGTTGTCCATTTTGTAGAGGATTATTAATCATCTAACGTCATTTTAATCGACATATCTTCATCGTAAATGAAAAGCTGAAAAAAGGAAAATAAAGTGAACTTTAAAACGATAACAAAAACATGTTCATAGATAAACTCGGGGTATTCCCCGAGTTATCTATGCCATGTATAAATCAAGGACGGTAGTTTTAGTTTTAATTGTTATTGAACGCTAGATGATTGTATAATTTTATTGAACTAAAAGTAGAATTAACACTAGACTTAGAAGTAGAAACGTCTCTTCAGACGGCTAAACCTCTCAACAATTAACACTAGAACTAATACTAGATTTAGAACTAGAAAGTTTCGGGTTTAGCCGTACGTCTTCGAGATTTTACTGTATGTAAAATTTTACTGTTGTTAGTTTAGGAATTAACGGATTAAAGTTGTGTTATGAAATTCACTGTAACATACTCAGTGGGTAGTAATTTGGTTCTAGAATACGACGAAAAAATGTGTCTCTTGGAGTGCGAAATGAGAATTTGATATAAATAGCTGTTGGAACAGAGTATTACAGTCGGGCGGTTCGCAAACGAATGTCCATAATTTGTCCCCAGTAATGGACGAAATAATTAAAACGAACGAGACAATTGTGGTGGAGGAGACGGTTAAAAGGTTGTTCTTTAAAAAGTACAACGTTATAAATAGTGAAATTAACGTTAAAAGTTTCGCTTACGTAACAATCGAATTTAAAAATTCTACACACGTAAAACGTAACTTGTTGGCTTTACTTGGTGAGTACAAATTGAGCAGGGAAACAGTTTTCAATGGAAAATCCCTTAGGAGGAGTTGATTAAATTGGCTAGAAGTCGACATGAACTCACGCCCTTTTTGCCGTCAATAGTGAACGTAATCTTATATTAACGCTAAGTTTCCATGAAACCTTTTCATTTTTACAAAATTAAAATCTGAAATATTTAGAATGCAAGAAATAAAATAAATTACTTTGTGGAAAAAGTATTTTAATTGCACATACACTTTAATAATGGATTTCAACTGGGAATATAACTAAAACATAGTACATCCACATACTCGGAAGTAATTTGCATTTAAACACCCAAAACTACTAATGTTAACGAAAGTTGAATGTACATGATGAACTTTACCTAAATTATGTTTGATTTATTATTCATTCAGTATTAGTATTGATCGTAAATATATTTAAAATTTTGATTATAAAATATAAATATAAAATAAATTTATAAGTATGTTTATAAAATACTTAAGCAAACCTTCAAGTAAACTCATATATTGAAAATGTTTAGTTTAAACGTTAAGAGATTCCGAGATCGAAATAGAACACGATACCCCTTTTAATTAATTTTGGAAAGTTTAGACATTTTAATGAAATAATTAAGACTTTTAAGGGTTTATGAAACATTATCCAAACTTTCTAAAGAGCAGATAATGTTAGAATTATGTAATAAACATTTTAATATGTTATTAAGAATTTTTAAAAAATCCTTTTTGTTTATTAAAATAAAAATTATTAAAATTAACTTTAAAATTGTTTCGTAATTCCATCTTAACACCGTATGGGCGTATTCAGTCCACTCAAGAGAGAAACTCGTAACAGATTGCGTCCAGCAAGAAGGGTTGATTTGTTTTTTAAAGGATGCAACATTCATCATCTTTATGAAATCCAGCTACTTGTTATAAAGCTTTGTGCCGTGGTAGCCTTACCCTGTTGCGTGGCATTCAAGCGATGGCAAAGAACGTATATAAAGTTCTTTTGTAGCGTATTACACGCGTGATAAACGAAGCTTTTATCGTAAATGTGTTTATTATTGTGTATTTAGGTCAAACTAGCAAGTATTTACAAGCACGGAACTACAAATAGTTCAATATTATTAATGTTATTTTAATTATACTAATTAAAGATTATTTTTCATTTACTTGATGTAGAACAAAATATTAATACCTTCTATCTTTATATTATTACAGACTACAAATCGAATTATTGTTTATTTAGAAAGTTTACACTTTCAATTTTTAAAATTAAAAATAAATTAATGCTTACAAATAATGGGTCCCCAAATATAAATTTAAATTAATTTGTAAATTTTGTATGTTCTGATACATTGATTTGGGAGAGTGCAATAATAAAAGGCATGAGTAGGTGATTTATTAATCTCGGGTTAATTAGTTATATTAAATAGAGGGCGTGAATCCACCTTTATAATAAATAAGTGGAGAAAGATGATGCATATCACGAGTAAGAAGAATGTTCCTCAACACTAATAAGTGTGTACTCTTCGATACTCGTGTTCAACGTAGTGCAAGCTTTTAGTTGAGGCATAAATCATTAAAACGGGGTGAACAACACAATTATTGGACAGAGAGATTATCTGAAGAATTATTAATATTTGAACTTTATTTTTAATATCTCAAAGAAGATGGATGCTGCTTCATGTATAATTAGCTATAACATTTTCCTTTATTTGCTGCCGGGCTGAAGATCTATTGTAACTTAAGCCCTCCAAAAGTTTAAGGCAAACGTTGGTCCTTTATGAACCTTAGTATTTCTCTAAGGTCTTGTTCCTTTATGTCGGTGTGTCAGGCAAACTTTACCGAAAATTTTGTTTCTCAGATGGCCTGTGGCGACGCAATCACACAGTATATGCTCAGATCTTAGATCCTCTTTGCTAAGGTATAAAACTTCTTTGGTTTTGTTTTGCAACGGAGTTATCATACTCTTCACCTATCTATGACCTTGAAGTTCTTTCCAGCGTAAGGCTACTTTTGAGACCTCCCAAATATTAATTACCTGTTTTAAGTATCCAATACAGAGCATTCTTGCTGCCTCTTTGGCCAGCTTGTCGTCCTTTCATAGCCCTCAATGTTTTTGTGACCTAGAACCCACCATAGAGTAACATCATTACCCCTAGCGAGTTCTCTCAGGTTACTGGTACACTTTTTGATCAGCTGCCCGACTGTCCGTGAAAATGTTTATCAATGCACCTTTCTGTCCCTTTTCTAGGTTCAAAGCAGTGCAGAAGTTTATAGCAAGAACTTCTGCTTGAAAAATGGTTATGTCCGAGCTGAGGGGCAATTTAGTGCCGCTATTTGGTCCACTGATGCCTATACCTACTCCGGATCCACCTGTCTTTGAAGCATTGATGTACAAGGCACGGGTTCCTCTTTTACGAAGCTTCCTGTAAAACATAAATCTGCTGAAATTCGTTCGAACCTCAAACTGTTTTGCCAGAAGAAGAAAGAAACTGTCTCACAAAAGAATTCTTAGTTCGAAATATTTTTCCTTGAAAGAAAGAAGATATTTTGTCTAATGCGTAGAATTTTTTATTGTTGTAAAACCTCAAAAAAAATAGAATTTTCATTAGCATGTCTACTAAGAACAGAAATTCTACAACTCAGTCTTGAAGCTGGTGTTGTTTTATACGTAAACCAACAAAGAAATAGCATTACTTGGTTTTCTCTACAAAAAAGTGTGTTAGATAACACCTCACTTCAACGACTGTAGCTACGTCCAAGGACGGTATGAAAATGAGCTCTAGGCGCGAACTGCTTAGCTTGATGCTTTTTCATAAGATCGTTAAAACTCGGACGCCGCGGTACCTCTATGACAAAATAACTTTTAAGTCAGAAGATGGGAGATATCCAACCAGGTTTGCCCCTGCAATCGTGCCACCAAAGTACAGAACATCATTGTTCCAGCGCTCTTTCACCTATCATGTCTACAAATCTTACGGAAGCCTGCCATTGTCGGTTCGACAGTTAAGTACGACAGGTTTCAAAAGGCGGGTAGGTGAAAGACTGGTAGGTTTGCAGGCCACTTAAATTTGTCCCCTTTACAATGCTGTCTTTTTTTTTTAATATTTTTGTTTTGTTTATGATCTTGCATTTGGTGTGCATCCTGTTGTCGCCGTTGGTTATGTTTTTTTATATTATTATTTGTATTTTGCTTGTATTATTATTACTTTTATATTGTTTTCATTTCTTTTTTTTTTCTTTTCTTTGCGTATATACTACTTTATTTTTTTGCTTTTTTTCTGTATATTATTATTTTTTTTTTGTTGTATAGGTTGGTTAGAATAGACTAAAGTCTGGAACCCGCCTTTTGTGTCCTTTTGTTTTTAATTCATGTATTTTTTTTTCTTAAATATGTAGAGTCTTATGGTGCACAATAAAGTTTATTATTATTATTATTATTGTATAACCGACGATTTGTAAATGGTTAAAATTTATATTGACTGTCGGGAATATTCAAACAATAACCCATAACAATAATCTTTATGTAGTCATACAAACATATTTCTTTTTTGGAGGGACAAAGGACAAAAATATAAAAACAAAAAGAAACTCTGAATTACAGTATGTATTCATGTGAACATACGCAAGAGAAAAAAATAAAAAATAATACTATACGAAAACAAAGAAACAAAAAAAAAATTCTGAATTACAGTATTTACATGAACATACGCAGGTGAATTAAATATAAAAAATAATACTATACAATACTGCATACTAACTATTAAATAATAAAACTATACAATACCATACGTAATAATAACTTAAAAGTAAACTTCGTTTGCAGATGTTAATACACGTCTTACATATCTTAGTATATCCCACAAGTATGTAGTATACTTGTAGTATACTACTATATGGTCTAATTAACGTGAGACAAGCGATTATTTCGAAAACGGTTAATTTTACATAAAAATGAACCAAATGAGGTTTCAAGGTTATATGAAGGTCACGACCAATTTTTTAAATGGCACCCTATACAGGTGTCCCGAAACTCAACGTCAAGCGGGCACCGGGTGAGAGGCCAACCTATACCTGTATAGGTTGGCCTCTGATAATAGACATATTTTTGAAAATATTAAAAATCGTTCCCATATATCATATCTTTAGGTACTACGGTCAGAAATGCTCGCAATTTAATAGTGATTTTTTTAATAATGTATTCCTTGGGAACCATGCTACTATAGAAATCACAAATCAAACAACAAAAGTCGTTAGTTTTGCAAAAAAAAACTATTAGTTTGATCGAGTTTAGGTTAAAAGAATGT